CAGAAACATTAGTAGGAACAAATATTTAAATAAGGAAATGTTTTCCATTTCATGTGTAGAAGGTAGAATTCCAAGATAGCCCCCAAGATTCCTGACTCCTAGTATGTACATATTATCCCAGTTATTCAAACAATAATCTAGGTACTGCTGTGAAGGAATTTTATAGATATAATTAAAGTCTCTAATCAGTTGACTTTAAATTAGGAAGATGAACCTGGACCTGACCTTAACAGGTGAGCCCTTAAAAGAAGTCAGAGAGATTCTCCTTTTGGCCTTGAAGAAGCAAACTGCCATGATGTGGAGAGGGCAGTGGCAGAAGACTGGGCAGCGAGCTCTAGTTGCTGAATGCCTCAGTCCTAGAGCCACAAGAACTGAATTCTGCCAATAACCAGTGAGCTTGGAAGAGGACCCTGAGCCTCAGAAAAGATCAGAGCCCGGCAGACACCTTGATTGCAACCTAAGGAGACCCTGAGAAGACCCAGCTGAGCTATTCCCAGACTCTTGACCCATTAACACTGTGAAATGAAAAAATTAAGTTGTTTTAAGCCACTAAATTAGTAGGATGCTGTTATGTAGCAATAGAAAACTAATATGCTAAGGGAGTACCAATGTAGCTTCATGACTTAAAGGTAGAATATTAACTTTTTACTGGTCATCTAGTTTCCAGAGCACATGAATCCAACCTCAGTATGACATATGTGTTTTAGAGAGTGTAACTTCCACTTGTCATCTGCACAGTCTGTCAAATGCCTGAGTGAGAGAAATGATAAAGAAGATAATCTAAGACAGAAGTCTCAACCTTTCTTCTACCATCATGCACATGATCGATGAAGCTCACCTTAGTGATACTCTCCCATCACTCTATCCAGTTCAATTTCCACTAGCAGACTGTAACTACACCCCTTTCTCTCCACACTTAACAAAGCAAATGATTGAAAGCAGCATTATAATAGTGATAATCTTGAATACACTCTGATTTATTTTTAAAAAACAATTTGCTTTCAACATTTGGAGCTTTAGCTATTAACACTTGTACAGATCTCACAGCTAGTGTTTCTTCATCAAAGCTGCTGTTTCTTTTTATCAACATTCAGTGAAGACTGAGAATTTATTGTATAAATGACTGTAGTAAGCACTATAAAAGTGGCTTCCTATGTTTGCTATTCAAAAATATTCCTACTGATTGGATCAAGAAGATCTGTGATTACCAGGTCCTTTTCCGCCTCTTGACCCATTGCCATACCTTCATTAACTTTCTAGTCATTTCTTGTTTTATCCCAAGCCAAGCTGGGGAAACTTCAGGCTATAAGCTCCTTGAGGCTTCTCTTATTTGTGACTGGAACATGCATAGTACTCAATAAATATGATTTTGAATGAATAAGTGACTGAGTGGCTAATGGAAAGGGCTTTTTCCCCAGGAAAGTCTGTTCAGAGACTTCTTCTTTGTTTTATAGTTTTTATCAAGATTTAAATAAACATGTACATATATGTACAATATATACCCTTTTGTCTACATGATTCATACAAGATAGCAAAAAGGAAAAAAGTATAATCACTAAAATGCAGTAGAGGAGTGGTTTCTGAAACCTAAAGAAGGCATAAGAGTATTGTGTTTTGAAATTGAGGGTACATGAATTTCAGGGAGTAAAGTTGTAATGTCATGAAGAGCTTGAATTGTATACAGGTATTAGACAATTGAACTGAGTTAAATTAATGTTTTGCCTTTTGGCATGTTTTGTTAGCTATTTAATAATATTTTTCTAAAAAGCAAACCATTCCAGGAGAACAACATTAAACATAATGATATTTCCATTCATCACATTTTTGTGTTCCATTTCTGTTTCGTGAAGCCAAAGGAAAAAGATGAGGAAAGGAGTTTGAGAGCAAGAATCAAATTTATTTTCTTGCAGGATTTTGAGAAAATACCCTTCTCAATGACAATTATTCTGGATCCTTGGTGAAGTTCTTTTTTTTTAAAACCACTTTATTGAGGTATGATTGATCTACAAAAAGCTGTACATATTTAATGTACACAGCTTGATGAGTTTTGAGGTAAGTATACACTCATGATACCATCACCACAATCAAGGCCCTAAACATATCCATCACCTCCAGAAGTTTCCTCCCACCCTATTTATTTATTTATGTAATAAGAACACAACATAAGATCTACTCTCTTGGCAAAATTTTTAAGTATACGATACAATATTGTTAACCATAGGCACTATGCTGTAGAGTAGATCTCTAGGACTTATTCATCTTGTATAACTGAAACTTTGTGCGCTTTGACTTACACTTCCTCATTTCTCTCTCCCCCTAGTCCCTAGTAATAACCATTCTACTCTCTGCTTCTATAAGTTTGACTATTTCAGATTTCTCATGTAGGTGGGATCATGTAGTATTTGTTCTTCTGTGTCTGGCTTATTTTACTCACCACAGTGTCCTCCAGGTTCATCCATGTTTTCATAAATTGCAGAATTTTCTTCTTTTTAAAGGCTGAATAATATTCCATTGTATGTAAATACCACATTGTCTTTATCTATTCATCCGTAAGTGGACATTGTCTTGGCTGTCGTAAATAGTGCTGCAATGAACATAGGAATGCAGATATCTCTTTGAGATCCTGATTTTAATTTCTTTAGAAATATACCCACAAGTGAGATTGCTGGATCATATGGTAGTTCTATTTTTAATTTTTTGAGGAACTTCTATACTGTTTTCCATAGTGGTTGCTTTGGTTTACATTCTCACCAACAGTGCACAGGGTTCCCTTTTCTCTGCATCCTCACCAACATTTGTTATCTTTATTTATTTTTTAATAATAACCGTCCTAACAAATGTGAGGTAATATCTCATTGTAGTATTGATTTGCATTTCCCTGATGATTAGTGATGTTGAGTAGCTTTTCATACACCCATTGGCCTTTGTATATCCTCTTTTGAGAAATGTCTATTCAGGTCCTTTGCCCATTTTTAAATTGGGTTATTTGGATGTTTTGTTGTTGTTGTTGTTGCTGTTGCTGTTTTGCTATTGAGTAGTAAAAGATCCTTACGTATTTTGGATATTAACCCCATTGCAGATGTATGGTTTGCAAATATTTTCTCCTATTCTGCAGGTTGTCTTTTCACTTTGTTGATTGTCTTCTTTGCTGTGCAGAAGCATTTTAGTTTAACGTAATCCCATTTGTCTATTTTTGCTTTTGTTGCTTGTGCTTTTGGTGTCATATCCAAGAACTTATCACCAAGGCCAATGTCAAGAAGATTTTCTCCTGTGTTTTCTTCTAGGAGTTTTACAGTTAAGTCTTACGTATAAGTCTTTAATCCATTTCGAGTTAATTTTTGTGTATGCTGTAAGATAAGGGCCCAGTTTCATTCTTTTGAATGTCAATATCTAGTTTTCCCAGCACGTATTGTTGGAGAGACTATTCTTTCCCTATTTTGTATTCTTGGCAACTTTGTCAAAGATTAGTTGACAGTTCATGAATGGGTTCATTCCTGGACTCTCTATTCTGTTCCATTGGTCTATGCATCTTTTTATGCCAGCACCATTCTGTTGATTACTGTAACATTGTAACATTGTTTGAAATCAGGAAGTGCTATGCATCCAGCTTTGTTCTTCTTTCTCAAAATTGCTTTGGCTATTCTGGGTCTTTTGTGGTTACATGTAAATTTTGGATTTTCTTTTTCTATTTCTGTAAAAAAAAAAAAAAAAAACAGCCATTGAGATTTTGTTAGGGATTGCACTGAATCTGTGGATTGCTTTAGGTAGTATAGGCAATTAACTGTTAATTCTTCCAATCCATGAATACGGAATATCTTTCCATTTATTTGTGTCTTTTTAAATTTCTTTCATCAACGCTTTATAGTTTTTACCTATAAAGTTTACCAATATAGTTTTCACCTTACAAAAAACGACAGTCTTTCACCTCCTTAGTTAAGTTTATTTCTAAGTATTGTTCAGAGATTTTTGAACAGAAAGAAAGCTGGTTTTAACCCCTTGATGGGGGGGGGGGGTTCCACTTTATTGCGGAAGCAGAGTTGTAAATGGAAGGAGTAAGGATAGCAAAGTAATCTCAGAGCTCAGAGCTGCAACCACAGGATCAGTCTAAGTGTGGTGTTGTCTTGACAGGCCCTAGACAGCAGCAGGGCACTAGGTGCCTAGGAAAGGTCATCTGGAGGAGACTCAGGAAGTAGAGGAATGTGCTTACCCCACATATCTGCCTAACACTTAAGGTCCGCTAATGAGCCAGAAGGAACACGGTTCACAAGTTGGGTTAGAGGACATGAAACCCAGCTGGAAGGAACACGGGTTTAGCGGATATGAAAAATCGCAGGAGGGAGGGAACACCTTCCATAACGCATCTACCACTTGTGTTACCTCACTGCACAATCCAGTCTCTGTTTATCAAGTCGTGGTGTTTGGAGCTGGGAGAAACCTGAAGAAAGTCGTTTTTGAGGCAAGGATCATGGGTCCACAAGCTTCAATTTTCACTCTACAAATGCTGCTGGAGCTAAGCTCTGGGTCTGAGTGGGTTTCTCAGGAGACCTGGAGGCCCTGCCCGCTCCAGGGTTTCTGAAGAAAAGGAAGCGTGGCCCTTCACAGTGGGCTGAGCTGGGACAGGGCACAACGAGCTTTGCAGGGACTGGATGCGCGGGGCCACGGTGCATTGCAGGGATGTGGGGTTGATGGAGTGCAGGGTCATGGCGGGCTCAGAGAGAAAGGGATGGCCCTGTCTGGAGGCGTGTGGCAGAGACTAAAGAAGGGGCGTGGCTGGACAAGAGGAGCATGAATAGGCTGAGTGAATGGGCTGTGGTTATAGTGGGAGGGGAGTGACCGTGGACGAGCACAGGGGCCACCCAGGAAGGCGGTCTTGGTGGGAAAGGAAAGGAGAGTGAGGGAAGGAACGTAGACAGGAGAGAGCGCCTTTGCGAAGGCCCAGCCGGTAGGGGCGTGGCCTTACAGAAGGGGTGTGGTGGGCCGGAGGGGGCGTGGTTACGATGGAGCACAGGGAGCGAGTCCCAAAGGGCATGGGTGTGCCCACAGCTGAGATCTGAGGACCCACCCTGACCACCACAAGAGGGCAATAGGAGATAGGGAGCATCCGGGAGGGAACGAAAACCACGTTGCCTGGGAGACTGCGGTAGGACCAAGCACAGAGGATTGGTCTGGAAAAGAGAAGCATGATAGACAGGGGAGAAGGGTGTGTCTCAGCCAGGAAAATCCTGGCCCTGCAGAGCCGAGGGGCATGGCCTCAGAAGGTTGGGCGTGGCCGTGAAGAAGCACAGGCGCAGGGCTGGGCAGTTGTCAATTCCAAAGAGAGTGGGGTGGGGGGCACGAGGGAGCCGGGTCCAGACGGAGTGCAGGGGCGTAGCCATAACGGAGGGGATATGGCCCCTACAGGAGGGCCCAGGTGAAGCGCAGAAGGCCATTTATCTGTATCTACCACAATTCCTTGTCTCTGCCCAGAGGCTCTGCCTCTTCCACAATTCTTTGTTCTTACCCACAAGTCTCTGTTCTTTCTCACAAGTCTCCCTTCTCTCCCACAATTCTCTCTCCCCAATGCCTCTGTTTTCTCCCACAATTCCATGTTTCTCCCAGAATTCTCAGTGGCTGTGATGGCGTGCTGGGGTATGGCCATGCTTAACTGCCCCTGGTATCTCAGCTGGAGGAGTTGTGGGGCGGCGGTGGGGGAGGGGGGTCAAGAAGGAGCAAAGACATCCCGGCTTAGGAGGGAGGGGCATGACTCAGACAGACTGTGAAGGCGTGGCCAGAACTGAGGAGGGTGGATCCTGTGGGAAAGGCTGGTAGGAGAGCAGCCTATGAATTCTTTGTCCACAATGTTTTCTTTCCTGAAATTGCCTCCTTTTCCCACAATTTTCTGTTCTTACCTACAATTCTCTGTTTTCTCCCACAATCCTTCGTGCACACCCACAATTCTCTGTGCTCACCCAGACTTCTCTGTGCTGTCCCACAATCCTCTATGTTCTCCCACATTTCTCTTCTCTTTCCCAGAATCCTCAGTTCTCTCCCAAAATGCTCTGTTCTTTCCCACAGAATTCCATTCTCTCCCCAAATTCTCTGTCTCTCCCAGGATTCTCTGTTCTCTCCCTCAGCCTCTATCTCAGTAGGGGGAGTGGCTATGATGCTGCACTAGTGACCTCGAATGCAAGGTGTGGCCATGGAAACACCTGGGGACGTGGCCCTAGCAGGAGAGGTAGTTTCGCAACACTGAGGGCATGATGATTATGAAGGAGAGATGGTCAGCACAGGAGAAGCAGGTCAAAGTGCCCAAAGTTGAAAGCTTCTAATTCGGGAATTCTTCCTTCTTCCCTTCCTTCGTTCCTTCTAAAGTGTATCTTTTTTGTATTTGATCTTGAAAGGCTACACAGTTGAAGCAATAGTATCACTTTCATGTTTAACGTGATGAGGCCCAGAGTTTAAACAGGCACTGAGGTTGCTCTTCAGATCAGTTCTACAGGACTACTTCTGCATTTGTTGGGAATACTGTTGTTGAAGACAGTTATTCTTTCTCTCAACAAATATTTATTGAATGACTCTCTGTGCTGTACACTGGGGTAAGTGCTAGAGACAAACTGATGAACAAGACACACTCTGTTCCTCAAGAAAGTCTGTTGTCATATATGGTATGGGTTTTAATAAAGGCATGTCCAGGGTGCCATGGGTGGCCTAATTTAGCCTGGGCAACTCAGAGATGAATAATGGATTTGAGTGAACAGAGACTGGAAGTAGGGAGATGATTTAACATCATTTAAGGTCATGGAATAATCCTGACAAGCTATGAAGACCCCCTGAGGCAAGGCAAAATAGTGGGAGTGGAGAAGACAGGATGGATCTAAGAGGCAATTGCCAGGTTGAATTCACGTTTATCAAATATTTATAAGGTGTCCATTCCATAGCAATAAATATTCTAGGTACCAAAGACACAGAGTGAACACAGTTGCCAAAGGTCCTGCCTTTGGGATAGACTTTAGGTGCTGATGAATGTGCTGAAGAATAATATACCTGGGAAAGGGGAAAGGGAGCACTGGGTGGCAGCTGCTGTCCTAGAGAGGGCACTCAGAGTGGGCATCTTTAATGTAGTGACACAGAGAAGAATCTGTGAAGGAGCATGAGGACCCAGCAGGGAGATATTTCCAGGAAGAGGAGCCAGCGGGTGCCAAGCTAGGAGCTTTAGTTTGAATTCCTGGACCAGCAAAATGGTTAGACTCTGGAGCAGGGAGTGGGAGGATGAAAGCAGTAGGAGATAAGCAAGGAGGGATGTCTAGAGGCTAGTTGTTGGAGGCCATTTAAAGAATCTTTTGACTTTTATTCTGAGTACAATGAAAGCTGTTTTGCATGTCTTGTATTTCATTTATCACTAACTAGCTTAGCACTAAGTAGCTGATGGCCCAATGGTTAAAATTTGGTGTGCTCTGCTTCAGCTGCCCAGGTTTGGTTCCTGGGCACAAAACCACACCGCTCATCTGTTGGTAGCCATGCTGTGGCGGTGGCCCATATAGAAGAACTAGAAGGATTTACAACTGGGTACTGGGGCTCTGGGGAGGGAAATAAAGAGTAAGATTGGCAACAGATGTTGGATAAGGGTGAATCTTTCCTAGCAAAAATAAAATAAAATAAAATGGGTATAAAATTATAAACCTTATATGGCTGATGTGAGCATTAAATGACTGTTGTTTTTAATGGCACTTAAGTGTTGGCTGGGTGTGTGGATTGAACCAATGGAACAGCAACAGTTTCTACGTTTCTTGCCTATACAACTAGATAATAGTGACATTTTCTGGGAGGAGACCCAGGAAGAGAGCCAGATTGGTGAACCAGAGAGGGAAATACTGAGATCATTTTGGATTCCAAAGTGCTGTCTGACATCTAGATAGTCATCCTGCTTGTGGCTGGTTCTGTAGGTGTGCATTCAGGAAAGATGTGTTGCCTGGAGACATGGATTTCAGGGAATAAAGGTGAGAAGTGGGTAGTTAGTACATTTTTACATCAGTTGCTCTTATGCATTCAAAAATCTTTTCTCCACTGTTGCCACACATTGTCAGTGTCTCCCTAAAGTTGAAAGAGAGGCTCATTAAACTATAAAACAATTCTATATTCATCATTCCTAATCCTCCTTCCACTGGTGCAGGCATACAGATCTCCTTCTGTTTGCCTCTTGCTCCAGAGGCCGTAAAACAGGTGGCTTGGCGGAGACCTGGCAGCAGAAAAGGCTTAATGGACTTTGCCCTCTTTTCTATAGCAACTTCCAGGTCTCCCCACCATTAGGTTCTTTTCCATTTGTTTGTTTCTATTTTCCCAATTCTCTTTGTTTCTTCCTCCCCTTTAAATTGTATGCCCAGGAACTATACACTTCCTCCATTCTTCCACTTGCAATATTGTTGTCCCTTATTTTGACGGACTTGCCTAGGTTTACTTGATTCCTCATGTCGTGAGTCACAGTCATTCAAATACACATCCATACGTATTTAAACATTACTGCAATGTGACATCACCTGCCAAAGATACCAGGGGGTGGTATTCACAAGACAGTCTCTTTTTCTACTTTTCCTTGCAGTGCCCTTAGAATGACTCTGGGAAGGATCCACATATCCCAGAGCCAGAAGCTGAGAGGGCCACGTTGTATACTCCTGCGTGTCCTACTCTGAGATGGGAGATGCCAAACCCACTGGGAGTATCTAACATCCCCTGTACTCTTGCAGCTTTAAACCTTCTACATGGAAAACCTTTGCCTAATAAAGGTGTTCTCTTGCTAGAACTATAATGTTCATTCCACCTTTCTTATTTAAGCAGATCCTGTAATTTTCCTAAACCGCCGTCCCTTGAGGTCACACAGCACATGATTTTATAACCAATATCTATCTGTTTCTACTACCTTCCTTCTGTCTTTTTCTAACCCTCACCCCCAGACAGCTTTCCTTATGCCAAGAGTCTGGTCATTTTCATCTTTCTCCTATTTGCCACTAAAGAGCAGCTGAAGGTGTGGGCAGGCAGGCCACTCATTAGGGGGAATTCAGCCATGGTGTCAGCCAACCCAGGAGCTTGTGCTTCTGCTGGAATTTCTGCTGCCAAATCATTTGCTCTCTCTTGTCTATGTACCTTTGTACTTGATTGAATATTGTGAACTGCTTTCTTCCACTCCCAGCCTGCCTTAAACACCCCGTTCTTTTTTGGGCTAATTCCTCCTTGTCCTTAGGTTTTGTAACATCTGGGGAGACTTTGCTAGTAAGTTCAATATCCATTGCTGCCCAAGGCTGGGAGAGGTGCTTCTGCTGTATGCTCAGAACACTGTGTGTGTGTGTGTGTGCATGTGTGTGTGTATATACACACATAGCCTCCATAGTAGCTTGATATTGTATTGGCCTTGTCCTTGGTCTTGTCTGCCTTCCCAATAAGATTGTGACCCTCAGTGAGGGCACCTCAGTCTCCTCAGCACTGACCCCACTATTAAACCTGAGTGGATGTAGAATAAATGCTTCTTTAAGGAATCTTCACATTTCTTCTTCATTCTTCACTCATGCTAACGTTAAATAAGATGTTGTATATTAAAAACTCTACCCACAAAAGACTTTTCTTTGTTCCCACTTTTACCTTCTTTCGATGTCTTTTTCTCTCCTAAAATCATTTGTTAAAGTAATTCTCTATTCTGCGAAATTTCTCTTTCAGTGCCACCATAATTTTTCTATTTTTATTTCTTAGAACCAGCATCACATTTTTTTCTTGCGTACTTTGAAGTATTTTTAGGTGTGCCTTTATTCTTACCTGGTATCTTAGTCATCTTATCACCCTGAAACCAGTGTCCCCAAGCAGTATAGCAAGTTGTCTCAAAATCATTAAGCTTTTTTAAAACACACATATCCTCATTAAGAAATCTGAGAGTCTCTGGGATTCCTATCTCCTCACCCTACCCAACCTTTATTTTGAAACTAGCCACCATTTCAGATGAAAGTTTGTTATATCTGTCAAGTGTGTTGGGACTAAAAAAGTAAGAAGTTGAGACCTGCTCAGTACTATATAAATACCTCTCAATTGAACTTTAATTTTATTTGTGAGTGATTATGAAGCTCAAAACAGAACTCAAATTTGCAAGAGAGAAAACTTTCCTTGTTCAATTTAGTTTTAATACAAGTTCATTTTCATCAGCAATACTGGGAAATCAATTGTAATCTATTTGGCATTCCATCCTCTTTTTTCCAGAATTTTAAGGAGGAGGACTTTGGATCCTCTGACATCATGCCATCATTTAGTCATTCAAGAAATGTTTATTTAGTGCTTACTATGTGACAGGCAGTGTTTCAGGCTCTGAGATATAGCAGTGAATAGACAGTGTTTCTGCTTTCGTAGGCACAAATATACAGACTTACTTATATAAGTAAATATATATGTACTTACTGTTAGGTGGTGATAAATGCTATGAAGAAAAATAGCTCAGGGCCTGTGAGGACAGGAATTCCCAGGTGGGAGCTACTATTTCAAATAGGTTAGTCAAGACAAGCCCTCTCTGATATGATGACATTTGACCATAAGAATGAGTGAATGTAGAAGAAGAAATAAGTATAGATATGTAGATGGGAAGCAAAGATACCACCGAACCCCTGGGCTTTCCAGATAGAGTAAAAGAGGAGGTTTCAATAAAGAAGACTGAGAAAAAGAGATCAGGTAGGTAGGAGGAAACCCAGAAAATGTCAAAAGCTAGAAACCAGGTGAAGAAAGTGCCTCAAGAAGAAGGGAATGACAAGCTATAATCAACAGTGCTGGTAGTTTGAGTAAGATGAGGACTGAGCATTGACCAGCTATTGAAGGTTATACTCTCTGAGATAGCACTTGCCCCCTCTGGCCCTCTGCAATTTGTCTACATAGGGCCCTTCCCACAGGGTCTTAACTTTTCCACGAGCCCTGTGAGCCAATTCTGTGCTACTCCAAGAACCAACCTACTTCTTCTAAGTCATGCTGGGTTGTGGGGTCCAGTAAGGCTAAGACCCTAACTACCGAGACACAGGAGGAAGCCATTTCTTCAAGAGCGTCCTAAGATATCTTCTGGTGTAAGCCCATAAAATGGAGCACAGGTCCCTTCTCTAGGTTTTCTAAAACCCATTAAGAACACTTTGCTATTCCCTACCTTGGCGTTCCTCAGAAATGGGAGGGAAAAATGGGCCAGCCTGTTGGTGTAGCAATTAAGTTTGCGTGCTCCACTTAGGCGTCCTGGGGTTCACAGGCTGGGATCCCAGGCGTGGACCTACGCACTGCTTGTCAAGCCATGCTGTGGCAGGTGTCCCACATATAAAATAGAGGAAAATGGGCACAGGTGTTAGCACACATCTTCCTCAGCAAAAAGAGGAGGATTGGTGGGGCTGGCCCCGTGGCTGAGTGGTTGGGTTCGCGTGCTCCGCTGCAGGTGGCCCAGTGTTTTGTTGGTTCGAATCCTGGGCGAGGACATGGCACTGCCTATCAGACCACGCTGGGGCAGCATCCCACATGCCACAACTGGAAGGACCCACAACGAAGAATACACAACTATGTACCGGGGGGCTTTGGGGAGAAAAAGGAAAAAATAAAATCTTTAAAAAAAAAAAAAAAGAGGAGGATTGGCAGCAGATGTTAGCTCAGGGCTAATCTTCCTCAAAAAAAAAAAAAAAACATACAAAATGAGAGGGAAAGAAACTGAGGGTCTGTTTCAGAAACCAACCAGCATCTAAATTCTTCTCTTTTCACTTCCAATTCTACACTTCTCCTACCTCTCAGGGAGTCTTTATTTAGTGGAAGAATTATGGGGTGGAGTGGAGTGGAGACTCGTTATGTACTCTTTCTGATACACTGTCTCTACTCTGAATTCTGTCAGGTTCCCTCAGGACCTACACTTTTACTGAAAACCGGAAGCTTTCTTAACTTGCTGCTAACAACCATTCCCTGATACAAGGAGCCCAGCATGGCAGCCTCTGGAATACAGAAAAGGGTTAAAGGATAACAGAAAATACTGAGGTGAGTTTTATTTTTGTCCCAATTTCTTTACCTTTTTTTTTCTGTGGGTGTTCTTCATTTATTTTACCTGCAGTTAGTAACGTGTATTTGGACTCTGAGGAAAAGAAGCGACCTCTGCCCTCTCCTCCCTTTAATCCTCCCCAAGGAGGAGGAATTTTGATGTTGTCTGTCTAATGCCAAGACATTGAATGGAAGATTTCTTTTCTAAGGGACAAGCATTGCCATACATATCCGCCTAGCTATCTTCTCTCTGCTTCTTCCTGCTAAGGGCCAGGCCTGCTCACTTACGGGAGGATGCAGGCTCTTGTGACCTCGCTTTGGTTCCAGCACTTTCTTTTTTGATGTCTTCTCACTCCAGTTTGGTAGTCAGACCAAGACTTCTGCTCTTGTCCAGCTCAGGCCAACTTGGTCTTGGACACTAGAAGGAAACATGCTCTTTTTTATTCCACTTTCTTTTTGTTCTTGCTGTTTATTTTCTTTCTGATTTCATTTCTCCCTGATGTTGGCAGAAAGACGTGATTCTAGTCTTTCCTTCCCTTGCACGGCTAGAGCTGAGTTTTGACTTTGGGATGGGGGACAGAGTGAAAAAATAAAATAGCCTTTGTGGCCTGCTTTAACAAAAACTTTACTTTTTAAATTTTATTGAGATATAATTCACATAACATAAAATTTTATGTACTATTTTACAGTGTATAATTCAGTGGTGTTTAGCATGTTGTATACTAGTATATTTAGTATATTGTGTAGATTTAGTACTGTGTTGTGCAGCTGTCATCACTGTCTAATTCCAGAACATTTCCATCACCCCAAAAAGAAACCTCTTACCCACTAGCAGTCACTTCCCAATTTCCCCTCTCTTCAGCCCCTAGCAATCACTCATCAACTTTATGTCTCTAGTATTTGCCATTCTGGACACTTCGTATAAATGGAATCATACATACGTGGCCTTTTTTGTCTGGCTTCTTTTACTTAGCATAATGTTTATCTTTTATTAGTTTAGGGAAAAGCAGTCTTCTGCTTGGTCCTGTCCAGCTCGTTAGAGGTTGGTCTTGGAGTTCAGAACCCAAGACTCAGCATATCAAGGTACAATACTGTGTCTTTCATTGCTTTGTTTGCATTGCTCCATCAATATCAGGGGACCTACAGCAGAGGCTAGCTGGCCCAATGGGTATTTGGGTATTCTAGAACATCTTGGCCATAATACCCAATAAGAGCATCCAAAGGATACTCCATTCTGATAGAAAGTGCTTCATGCCTCTTGTGGAAAACATCAGTGATAAGAGGAGCAAAAGTACGTACCCTTTGAACATTTTCTTGCTATTCATTTAATTTGTCCTGTTCTAATAGGGTTTTCTCATCCTCCTTAATCTTGGCCAAGTCTCTCAGCATTAAAAATAAATTAGTATAATTACATGATTGGAAAGTGCAGTCATTACTACTTTATATTTTATATAACCTTGATTTTCCTTGTACTTAAAGCTTTCCAACAATACTGACCACTTAACCATAAAGTGCAGGGTGTGTGTGTGCATGCATGCACACACATGCAGGGGTGTCCCAGTTTGAACCTATGCCATATACATTATTGATTTCAGACATGTCTGGTCACATGTGGCAAACTGTTGGGAAAATCCACGCAAGAAATATGTCTCCTTCTCTGGAAACGCAAGGTACATTCTGAGACAGTTGTTAGCCATGGTCGTGGTCTAGTAAGAATGTCTCAGGTGGCCAGATGCAGGCATGATCATGCTTCTTGGCAGTAGGTCAACCCAGTCCACGGCACGGGAATAGTGCCAGCAGCACCCACAGTTCTAAAGGCACCAGATGGCCAGCTGTGAGAATTGTCAACCCAATTCAAGCATCTCTGCTTGTGAGGATGAGCGGACACAGCAGTTGACATCGCCAGGAGCAGGAAAGAAGAAAATGGTGGACGCCACATGGTAGATGAGAAGATGTGTTAGTGAGCCCACGTGAGACATCCTTAGAGACTCTATAATAATTAGAGGTGGTGTTGAGGGGGTCTTTAGTGGTATGTGACTATGAAATTCAAAGAAAAGTGATTAGTATGATCTCAATTTTGCCCTCAGACTGATGCCCTTGGGAAACACTGATCAGTTTTATAAGCAAAACAGAAGGATTCATATATATATATGAATAATGAAATTATATTACATATAGTGATTATTTAAATTCATAAGCTAGTGTTTGATTATTTCCAACCAGGGACCTAATTAAGCTCCAAAAAGATCACGTAAAAGAGCAATAACAAATCACTGGAGAGGTCTGATCTCACTCAAGAGTTTCCTATTTAGCCTGAGGAAGTAGCTCTGTTTCCTAAAATTCTCTGTCCGCCTCTCATCATTTTAAGAAACAGGCTCTGATAGAATAAAACAGAAGGCTGAGCGGCTCTACTACTTACCAGCTGGTGATCTTGGACATGTTAATTAACATCTCTGAACCACAATGTCCTCATTTGTAAAGTGGGGGATGTAATACCACCTACCCCATAGGTAGTTTGGGAGGTTCAACTGGATTTGTATCTGTAGAGTAGTAAAATGCCTTGCATTGTTGGCACTCAGTCAACAGTGTTCTCTGCTCTTTCTCACTGCCGTGGACCTGGCCCCTAGAAGAGACCACCCTGGATGGTATTGAAAAGGCAAGGCTCCCCGACGAGAGCTCTCAGAGGAAGCCTGTGGCAGCCAGCTCTATTAGCACAACTTCTCCTTGGGAGCTCCATCAGCTGTTGCCTTGGAGCAGCATCCATTTGCTGCCTTCCTTGCTTATTTTTCAGTATCAGATGTGCCAGCCACAGGTGCCATTTAGCCTCAGACTGCTTCCACTCAGTAGAGTAGGTCTCCCTAGGCCCACACATCTAGTTCCAGTACAGCTGCTCGCACCTCTGCTGCACTTTCTCTGCCATAATTCTCTGACAAGGCGGGTCTCAGTCTACCTCCTCCTCCTTGATTTATCACAGCTGAGACTTTCTACAATGGCGGTGAGAGACAGAGGAGAAGGCCTCAACATCTGACTTCTTTCTTTCTCCTCTTACATATTCTTCCTTTCTAGTTCCCTTCCTACATCAACTTATTCCTTTCTTCCATTTTCTAAGTTCTCCTTTGGGGTTGATGAGGGAGAAAATAAATCTCAAGAAACAATGGATAGTGTTCTCTAAATATTTCCAGAAATGGCTGATTAGTATCAACTCTGCCAAACTGAAAATAATCATGGTTCTTGGCACTCACCAAAGTTCATGTAGACAACGCTAAACAATTTCACCCTTGCATGAGAAAAGATCCAAAGAGAATTCTTAAGGAAAAATCTGACCTCAATATTAGGCATCCCATAACCCATCTCCTGGGAAGGTGCTTCTGAATCCTCTGAATGTGGAGTGGGATCAGCTGTATGGACTTGCTCACACGTGCCCCTCATTATATGGCTGGGATCTAAAACATGAGGGGTCTCCCTTCAATCAGGAGCTTGGCACTGAATTTATATCATGTAGTAGTTAAAAGCCCAGCTCTGGCACCAGGCTACTGAGATTTGAAACATTAGCTCATTGACCATAGGAAAATCTAATACAATTTTGGTTTTCTGAGATATAAAATAGATAGAATAATATTTGTTACTTCATACGTTTGTATGAGACTTACGTGTTATAATTAAGGCCTGGAGCATAGTAAGTATTCAAAAAGCATTAGCTATTATTAGTGTTGTTGATGTAATTGTTATCATTGTCTAAATGAAGCTAGAGAACTTAACTTTGGGCTGACTCTATTAAGCTAATCTGAGAGAAGTAAAAGAATGGACACGTAATACGTAAAGAAGATATGTAAAGGAGATTGTTTGAGACGGTGGTTCTCCAACTTTAGTGTACGTCAGAATCACCTGGAGGGCTTGTTAAGCTAAAGGTTGCTGGCCTCCACTCCCAGAGTTTCTGTCAGTAGGTCTGGGGTGGGGAAAGAGAATTTGAATTTCTAACTAGTTCCCAGTTGATGCTGATGTGGCTGGTTTGTGGGCCATGCTTCAAGCAACTCTAATTTAGGGTATTTCTCTTCTAAAAAAGGAGTTTGGTTTCCATCAATGGTTGATATAAAACATAGCCACATTTCTATAATTTTTTTCTGAGAAAGCAGGTCAAGATATTGCTCACCTGTTTTCAATACCCTATGTAAACACTCATGTTTGGCTTCTCACTCAACAGACGTATGACTTGAGCATCTGTGATGTGCCAGGCACTGCACTGGGTCCTGGAAATACAGCAGTGGGTAAAACAGACACTCTTCCTGCCCTTGTGAAGCTAATGGCCTACTGAGGTGATAGGTATTAAGCAAACAATAACGTAAATGCAAAATTAAAGACACTATTAGGTAAAAAAGTCTTTAATTCTCATATCAACTCTGCAAGATAGATAGAATAAATATTTTGTCTCTATTTTACAGCTAAGGATAAAGATACAGAATGAAATCATTTTAAGGCTGATAGAACTCTGAGAAATCACTTTCTCAAACTCTTAATGCAAATGGGAGTTAAAGGACTTCCTCAAAGTCACAGGAGTAATTGGCATCAAAGCTGAAATTAGACTTTTATTTGAATTTTCTTGTCATGCTGTCTGAGAACTGAAAATATGCCCTTAGTGTTTTATAGCACATATACTATATTTAACATACCAACTATGTTAGTAAGAACGAAATAATAACAAGGGAGCTAGCAGGCAACATAAATAGACTTTCTGCCACACTGATTTAGAGCATTGTGTGGTATTTATAATATGACTTCATTTCTACTTCTCTTAGTGGCCTAGAAGCCAGCCATGATTCTTTTATTATATTACTTGGTAGGTGTTTTTCTCTCTGAATTTTGGAATACATTGTCAAAAGGACACTTGACCATGGCTGATGGATTTTTACTGTGTCATTTATTTTTAAAATTGGAAACATTGTTTAAAACAGTCCCCAATTTTTCTGAAAACAAGTCACTTTTCAAATATTCATAAGATATAA